GGTGTTTTTATTTTTGAAATATATGTTGTGATGTTATATTTTGAGGTATTTTCATTAAGACTCTTAGGCTGTTTTTTAGACTTTAAGCCTCTCTATTTTGGTTATATGCCAATATAAGTTATCTGTTACAATATGTCAGTAGGAATGCAGTTAAAGAAGAGAAACAGCATGAAAAAGCTTGTGAGATTGCCCTCCTTGATAAGAATCTAAGGAATGTTCATCTCTTCACTGTGCTGTAGGTGGTACAGTCACTGAAAATGTAACCTAAACCATGTTTTCAGAGGTCCTCAGTGTACTTGCATATTTGTGACAGTGCCTTGCTATTCATGTTCAGAAAGATGCTTTGTTTGTGTGTTTTAAATCTTGAATTGAAAATGTAATGAAATATTTTTATAATAATCCATGTGGAATTATCTCATTTTAAAGTTTTTGAGTTTAAACTGAGAACTGTTTCTGAATCTGCTTTTCATGCTATTTTTCCATGAATTGGGCCTTACACTTAGGCTGTTAATTGGTGCTGACTAACCTAGTGGGTTTTTCTGTATGAATATATTAATTAAAGCTCAATATGTTAGTCCATAAAATACATTTAATGTTAAGAATTAGTATCAGAAAGATGTATTATTGAATTCTGCAAAGAAAATATTAAAATACAGAGTTGTCTAACTGCTTGTGACTAATGCAGATGCTTATTAAAGCATGGAATTAGATTCCTGATTTGGAGATATTTTCCCCTGATTTTTGTGATGTATATAAATAAAACATTTTTTTCATTAAATATATTAAAAAAAAAAGGTGATAGGAATGACAATTATTGGAAGAAAAATCCAGATTCAGACCAGGAGAGGAGACTTCCCCTCATCTTTCAGGTAGTTCATCTATGTCAAGACTAGGGTATGTACATGGTCCTCAGGGCAACAAATTATGTCTGAGTTACAGATAAAAAAAAAAGACTGGTCTTAAGATGTTACACATGCAGTACTTCTAAATGAAGTAAATGTGAACACTGGTCAATATTTTCTTTATATGATAGAGTATGGTATTTAAAATCCAAAGAAAATGTGCATGAAGTTCTTCTGTGTCACTTGACCTTTCAAACTTCGGTTAAAGTTCTTGTTGAACTCTTGCTTATTAACTGTTTGTCCTGTGTTAGAAAGGTTTTTGATTGTTATTTTAAGTGTTATTTGGAGAGCTTTATCTTTTAAAAAGTCTTCCCCCCCAAAAAAAACGTTAATGTTTATGGAAGGGGGATCAACCCCAGGCAAGTCTCAGCTTTTGCAAAGCTTCCAAAGCACAAAATTCAGGATTTTCCCTAAATTGAAGTAAGTCCTAGAACTTCAGCAGAGATACAAGGAGGCTTTTGGGTTATATCTCCTGCTAGTTATATCTCCTGGTTGTATTTCTCCTTAGAGAAAGCAAATCGAGGTTAAAGGTAAGTTTGAATTGTTTCCCTATGTCAGAGGTCAAACTTAAATGTTTCGTATCTCTTATTGCTGCAGTTCTCTTGGAATAAAATGACAGATTTCATTACATCAGTCAAAATTGTTGCTTGTGTATAGAACTAGAAAAAAGAGAAGGCTTACTATTATGGTAAATGCTTGACCTTATGAGTAAAAATCAATATATCATCTCTGTGTGTTTTGTTTCTCTTTGTTTTTCTAGCATGTGCAACATTTTCCCAGAAGTCCTGTGAGGAATGTCTAAAAAATGTTTCGGTAAGATTTTTAGTATCTTTTTCGGCTGATGAGAATTTGGTGATTTTTCTGTGTAATATGAAATAAAATTGTTAGGGTTTGTTTGGCTGTTTGTTGGAGTTCTTGTTTAGGTTTTAGTGGTGAAGCTAATCAAACTACCCATAATAAGAAGTCAGGATCAGTCAGTTCTTGTATCTAGTCTTATTTAAATGCTAATTGAGTCAACTGATGTGCTGCTTCTCCTGTATCACATGCGATGCCAGTGTACTTTCACTTTGCTCCATGATTTGGTCTCTCAGGATGTTTCTGTGTTTTATCTGGGGAGGACAAATTGAATCCAGACCTCCAGTGTCAGCGTGTGCTCAGTCAGGGCTTTCATAGCACAACTGAACACGTTGCTGCGGGTTCAGCCTCATCCTCATTTTGTGAGCAGCACTTAGTTAAATGCCCGTCTTATGAAAGGACTTGATAAACTCAACCTCATGTGGGTGAAATGCTTTGCATTTCTTGCGTGCTGAATAGGAGAACTGGGAAATTAAATAATCTAGAAGTGCTTTTCTCTGGAGATGCCCCAAGAAATGCATTTAACTGAGGCAGACTGGACCAGTGCTTTGTAGATGTTCAGATGTGTCAGCCTCTCCACTGACTACATCACACCATGTGTGCTTTAGACTGCCAGGCTAGGGCACTCTTATAGCAAAGTGTTTAGATTTCCAATGAGATTGCAGTAAAGGCAGACTTTTAAACAATAGAATTTGCTTCTCTGTCCTTTGCTGAAAATCATGTTAGCTCTGCAGTAAGGATTGTGAGAAGGATGCAAGAGTCACCTGTCCCTGCAGAGTAGAAGAAACTTCCTTATTTACAGTAAGAGATTATTTCAAATTGAAACTTCAGATGTCACCGAAAAGGAGTATTTCAGGAGTCTTTAAATTACATATGTTACTGCCAAACTTTTTCACCAGGAGAGGTTGAGATATGTCTAAGCTTACCTGTGTTATGCTTGTCTTAAGCATATTTTAGCTTTTTAAGGGAAAAATATTAGTTGATTTGTATTCATGTGGTTATTGTGTATTGTCAGACCTGTACATTTGTTGTCAGAAGAATGGCATTGTGTAAAACACTCTTCATCTTCAAAAATATAAAGTAGGAAATGGAAAACTAACAACTAAATGTTCAGTGCTAGCACTGGTGTGGCTGTCACTTCAAATCAGTGCAGCTGCAGATACATGAGCACAACTTTTATTAACCCGAGAGCTATGTGTTCACCTTGTGAGAGAAAGAAATCCTTTAGCTGTGTTTGTGTACTGAAGACACCAACAGAGTTATAGATACATTATTTTCTGTATATGTGAAACTAATGACAGTGTCCAGGTTTGTTTTGGTGACAGAAGGATGGATGATTCAGGGCAACTGCTTCAGTAGCATCAGCCTTAACCTTGAGGCAAGGAGTTTAGACTTGATTCAGACAATTTGCAAATACGTTTTAAAAAAATAAAAATACAAAAGGCTGCAGAACAAAGCTGTTAGAACTTCAGTGAGCAATACGAAAGCAGCAGATTGCTGAAATTGTTTTTATTTATTTAGAAGAAAATCAGGTTTTCATATAGGTGATAATACCGATAGCAGCAGATAAAAATGAAATGGTGAACAGATAAAACCAAAAAATATCTAAAATGTTGCAATTTAGTTCAGTTAAATGGAATTATAATTCAAAATGCTCAAATTTTGTTGATTGTAATTATAATTGGGTTGATCTTTTGGGTGGGTGAATGCCTATTTTTTGTTTGTTTTTTCAATAAGTTTTGAGTGATAATTCTACAATGAATGCCTATTTTTTGTGTGTTTTCTCAATAAGTTTTGAGTGATAATTCTACAGCTATGCTGTTGCATTTCATGTTCCTTACAATATGGTAGATTAAAAAATAGCACATAAGGGTTTTGATTAGAACTCCGACTCAGTTTATTTGCTTCAGAGAAATATTTACTGCTCTGACTAGCAGATTGGTTGCCAGGTGTATTAAAATTTGAGAACTTTATCTGTTACCAGATAATGTGTAAATATGTATTGGTTAGCATCTTGGGAGTGTTTTCTCTTCATGTTTCTAACTCCATATGACTGTGTTTAATGCAAAGTACTGGTTAGAGGTGGGACTGCATTTTAAAAGAGCATCAGCATTGTGAAGAATTTTCCAATGTCTCATATTTAGCTTTTGAGTAGTCTACCAATATGTTTTCCCCCCAGCTATTTATTTTTGTCATTCTCATCTTTGTCCTAATCATAAATGTATGGAATCTAAATTCTTGTGGAAAGTAGATTTTAGGTAAGCTATGCATTTAAAAAAAAAAAAAAATTTGAGTGCATGTCTAGAGCATCAGCATTGTGAAGAATTTTCCAATGTCTCATATTTAGCTTTTGAGTAGTCTACCAATATGTTTTCCCCCCAGCTATTTATTTTTGTCATTCTCATCTTTGTCCTAATCATAAATGTATGGAATCTAAATTCTTGTGGAAAGTAGATTTTAGGTAAGCTATGCATTTAAAAAAAAAAAAAAAAAAAAAAGGAAAAAAGGTAAAAACAGCTGTAGGAAATTATGTGATCAAGAAACATGGCCAATATTTTGAGAGAAAGGTGGGGATATAGAGGAAGAAGCATTCATTTTGTGTTTGTAATTACTATTATATCTCTTTTAATACTGAGAGTATGTCCTTAAAATGAGTGTGGATTGAATTAATGATGTTCCACTTCATTATCCATGTTCTAAAATAAAGTCACCATTATCCATTAGAGTATGAATGTAGTTCTTAGCATATGCTGCAAAGAATATATGATTTACCTCTAAATAAAATAAAGTCTTTTCAGTCTTCATTTTTAGGTTATGTAGATGAGGATCAAAGTTACAGAAAGGTTTCACCCTCGGATGTTTAGATGTTGGCTTTTTTCTAACTTGACTTTGACAATTAGCTTAGTTTTTAGCATTGGGAATGAGTCAACTGACTCATTTGCTTGTACTTCAGCCTCTGCTCTAGTCAGTAGCTGTATCAGGTATTGCCTTTTGAGCCAGACATGGTTTTAGTAGTTAGATGCAGGAGTCTCTATCAGAGTGATACAGGTGATCTTTCTGGGCTTCTAGTTGTCCCCAACAGTGTAGCATCATTGAGGTTAGAAGAGACCTCCTGAGTCACCTAGTCCAGCCTCATACTCAAAACAGGGTCAACATTACATTCAAAGTTTATCAATGAACTTTTACTATGTGCCCTATTAGTCACTATTTTTGAACTGTTGATTCTTATAAAATGTTTGATCCAACAAAAGCCTGTTATCATCTAACATCTTTGATTAAAAGGGCAGGGTTTTTTTTCCCGTTTATTCCACTTTCTTAATTATTTTTGTTGATGTGTCTTTATGGGTATGTTTAACTTGTGCAGTCTAGCAACTACAAAATACGAATACTGTTTTCTTGTACCTGATGTCTTCAAGAAAGCAGAACCTGCTACAAACGGTCTCCGTTGCATTTAACGTTTTCTAACCCACTAGAGCAAGATAAGAGGTTTTGTGCAATTGAGGATGTATGACAGAGATGTTCTTGATGGTACTGTTAGATCAAGCATAGTTCCTGGATGAGCTCTTTCTGTAATGAATCTTAAAAATACAACATCTGTCAAGGATTCCTATTACTGTCATTCGGAACCACTGTTCGAGTTGTGTGCTGGAGAAGTTTTAAATCAGTATTTCTTTTAACAGATGAAAACCAAAACTTAAGCTTAATGCTTAGTGATGGTTTAAAAAGCAGAAATGTTGTGCTAGTATTGAACTATAATACACATAAGAAATCTGAATTTTTAAAAATGCCCAGATATGTATGTGTGCAGAGTTAGGGTACACAATGTACTTTGCAACAGAGATTGGGTAAGGCTGTATCATTTATTACCTTGTGGCAAAACCTCCAGTAGAATTGTAAGGGTTCTTTACAGTTTTCTTTCTGTTGATAATTGAATACAGAGCTGAAACAAGATTATAAGTGCGTTTTTATTCCCTAAAGATCCATGTGTTTTAAAGTCCTGACCAGTTGTCTTTCTGATCTTGTATTTCTTGTTAATTCCAGTAATTTTAAACCCAAAGCCATTTTACCCTCAAGTATACAGACTGCCTCAATAAGTTCTCTGATATTTTCAGGGTCGTGTAAATATTTATGTGTAAGTATTAAACATGCTTATTCACAATTCAGTTTGGGTTTTACTGAGGAATTGACCCAGGACTTCTGTAGGTTTTATACTATAAAGCACTTTTGATACACTCATGTAAGAATTCTGTCTTTGGAGAGAAGCACTAATTAAATGTTTTTGAAGATGAATAATCTTGGGGGTTTTGTTTCTTTTGCACAGTGCCTTTGGTGTTACACCAACAACACTTGCATTGATTATCCTGTCAGAAGCATTCTTCCACCATCTTCGTTGTGTTCCCTCTCAAATGCTCGATGGGGAGTTTGCTGGAGTAGGTACTACTTTTGCTTTTGCTGTAGAGAGTTATTTATGAGTATGATTGAAGTAAGACTGCAGCTTACTAGAGCTGTTTCCTGATAATTTATATGGAGGAGTGGAGGGAGGAGGCAGTGGCTGTGATTTGGAACCATGATCTCTAATCATCCAGACTTATAAGCAATCACTGTTAGGTGTTCATTGAAACAGAAAATACAGTTATAAAAACATTTTTACCTTTTAAAAATTTTCTCGAAGTGTTGGGTGACGTGCCTAGATCCACAATATTTTTAATATATTCCAGTGGCAGCAGTGTACCAATAGCACAGGAATGGAGCCACCCAGGAATTCTTGAATGCTATTTTAGCTTAAACAGCTAAAAAAACAATGTAATTGCTGAAGACAATGTAGATAGGGTTAAAAAGGAAGCTGTAGAGTGCCACTGTAGACTGCAGGACTGCATCATTTAATTGTTCTTAGATTTCATTTTGCTTTGCTTGTTGTATTACAAAGTACAGTACAGAGCATGTGCTGCCATTGGGGTGAAATCTTTGGAGCTGTTTTCGCAATACTGTGTATACAGATGTAAGTTCAGACTGGCCTGGAACAGGGAACCAGTAAGACACTGGAAAGCTTGTCCTGTGAAACAAGTGTGCAGCTTTGGTCCAGCAAAGCTAAGGATTGCTGCTTTCTATGTCTTTGTTCATGGATGCCAGGAGCCTAAAGGACAAAAACAAGTGGGGCTGAACTATCAGTTACTATGTTAACTATAAAATAAAGTTACCACACTTGGCACAGACAGATTATGCAGTAGTCTAAATTAGAGTAGCAGAAGTAGAAGAATGCTGTTAAAGTGGAGAATGCAAATTTCTGAACACTACCCTTAATAATCCCTGCAAATGGAGTGACTAGATTAAACAGTACAGGAGAAGTTTATCTTACAGAAGGGATTTGTGGTTTGTTTTCTGAGAAGAGGCATTTATGCTTAGTTTTAAGGTTTTTCAGAGTAAAAAAGGTATATAATTACACTGACAAGGCACACAAGCAAACTTTTCTGGAAGCATGGAAGGTTGACTCCTGCCAATAGCTAAGCATTCACACAGCTGCTTGCTTCCTCTCTCCCACCCCTCATCCCACCCCAGCGGGATGGAGGAAGAAAATAGAACAAAAGCAAGAAAAAGAGATAAAAACAATTTAATAGGTGGAGGGGAAAGAAAAAGGCAAGCAAAGGAAACTGCTTGCCACCTTCCACAGGCAGACTGATGCTCCGCCAGTCCCCAAACAACAGCCACCTGGGAAGCCAGGTACACCCTCCACTTATTTTTCTTTTACCTCTGATTTTATTGCTGATCGTGACATTATATGGTGTGGAATATGCCTTTGACCAATTTGGGTCAGCTGTTTTGTCAGCATCCCCTCCTGACCTCTCTAGTCTCTTGCATACCTCCAGCCCCACTCACTGAGGGAAACAGAGTGAAGGGAGGAAGAAGATAATATCTTGTTGCTTTTCAAGCCTGTTCAGCAATAGCCAAAACATTGGTGTGTTACCAGCACTTTTTTAGCCAGAAATCCAAAACACAGCATCATACCAGCCACTGTAATGTAAGTTAACACTCTCAGCCACACCAAGTAGGGGGACATGTCCTTTTGCAAAGCAGTGTTTGCCAGTGTCTACTAATTCTAAAAGTGTTCTTGACAGCTTATTTCTGCGATAGAAATGTCTTGTAGCTTAGGTGCCATTTGTGTTTCTAGTAGTGACTGTAGCTTAAACACGGAATGAAAACTTTGTAATGGAGCACATTCTCAGAAGAAAAAAAGAATGGAAAAAATTAGAAAAACCTAAAACAACAACAAAAAATTATCTAATATGCATTTCCTTAATAGATTTTTTACAAATTATAGGCAGCAGCATGCCGACGGGGTTGTATAGTCTTATTGAAACTGTCCCCTTTGGACACAGCAGGAAAATTAATTAACCTGTGAGGGTGGTGGTGGTGGTGTTTTATCTTTTAGCAGGCAAAATGAAGAGATGAATGTTGTTCATTGTTGCTGAAAATGAAGGTGAATATTACAGCTCTCAAAGTTAAAAACAAATGACTGGCTTCCAGTTACAATTTTATGTGAAATAAGACATGTTGATAGATTATGAACCAGCAGTGAAGAAAAGAAACAACTAGTAT